AAGCATTTGTAGCGTCACGTTGACCGTAGCCATAAAGTATTATTAAATATTTAAAGAAGATTTTGCATTAAGATTATGTTTTAACATGACAAATTTTGTTATAAGCTGTAGATAATAAATAATGCAATGTGTTATATAGTTGAGCGCACAAGTGGAGAAGCTTACTGTACTGGGACGGGAATTAAAACGTAAACAACGACAAGCGCAAATGCAAGCCCGAGGTCTAGTAGAAGAAAGAGCCGACTTTTTAGCTCAACTGCAAGATCAGAATCGGGAACTTATAAATCTTCGGGGACGGCTTGGAATGGCTAAGAAAGAAAATGAGGATTTGAGTAAATTGCAGGGCTGTCCTGATTTGACGAACAAAGCAATTTATGATCTCGACGATCCTGATAGGCCGAGATTTACGACTGCCGAGCTGAAAGAAATCTTGCATGAGCGAAATGAATTGAAGGCAAGAGTCTCGGATCTCGAAGACGAATTAGAGTTGTACCGACCAAAACCTGAAATGTATGTTATTGAATAATAGAAATTTATATTCTATGCAGTATGCTATATAAAATATATTCGTGTCACTTCTGTGTTGTTTCAGTCCTGAAGATGACAAAGATGCACCTGTGCAAGGACCGCTTCCTTATGAACCTGATGATGCACCATGGAAAAAGTCGTCTGAATCTGGAATTCGTAAATTGTACGTTTATTCTTTTCATTTCTTCGTGACATATATCTAAAGTGCGTTAATTTTATAGCTTCCGAAAAATATTCTCCGAGTCCAGCAGCAGCTTTCTCGGAGGTAGCAGTCCCAGACGAAGTCTTTCTAGTCTTTCAAAGATGGCCCTATCTGGTAGCAGTACCTGTGATACGTCTATATAATGCTTTTTTAAAAAAACGTTGGATAATTTTAAGTAATTAGGACTTGTCGATGACGACAACCAAGGACGACGTCGCTTAGGACTAGACTTTTTATTTACATAATCACATTCTCTGACTGCTCGATATACAAACGATTTTACATAGACAATTTTAACGTCGTAGATATCAATTCCTGTAAGAAAGATAGTTGATATTATTATTGAGACCTGATTCATAGTAGATAGATATGCATGCAATGAGTGAATAGGAAACACTAGATTTGTATAAACTTATAAACCTATAATATAAAGGAAGAGACTTGTGTGCATGTATATACTTGTATAGATGTAAAAAAGGACAATGTGTATTTAGCTGCACGACCTTAGTATATCACAAATCACTTTTCTCATTTTTGCTTTTTTCCATTTATTCCCTTTAGATGTTGAATTGAAATTAATAGGTATATAGATATAGAATATTCGTTATTCGTAACGCATGAAAGAAAAATATAGCGATACAATTAGAAAAAAAACATTTGTTTTTTTCAAGACTACTAGGTGCGTGTAGTTTTAAATGCATTGATGAGGTTCTAATTGTGTCTAATGTGAAACAGGTCTCATTCTTTCTATATATATAGATATACGCAGATACCAAAGTATCCTAGTAACTATTATTTGCTCTCAAAGAGCAATTTATATCTTATCTTTCGATAATTTCCTTTATTCTCTTGATTATCTATAAATAAACTAACCTATTCTATCTAACTTTACAATTAAACACAATTTTTAGAGTAAATTCTACATTGAGAAAACCACAATAAGCTTTTATATCTTATTTATTAACTTTTTAACATATTTCGTATGTTTATTGTGTCAAAATGCATTTATGATGTGATTAAAGTACATAACATTTGAATTTGTATTTTATTTTTTATCTTTTGTACATTGTCGTAAGCAATAACATATCTATATTCAATTCTTTTATCTCATTTACAATTATTTGCGGACACTATATTGAATTAATATATTTCACAATCTGTGCCATGTGTTAATGTAAAAATAAATAAGAATATTTTTCTTTCCATGTTGCAATTGTAAATATACTCATAAAACACAAATTGATTTAGCTGTATATTTATTTTAACGTGTAATATGTTCGTATAAAAATATTCTTTCTCGGATATATAGATATATGACGATATAAATAAAAAGTTATCAATATCTATACATCTAAATACTTAAAAACATAGCAAAGTGGATATGTTGCTATTTTATAAGATTATCTAAATTAAAGTTAATAAGTAATCAAAAAAGTTTTCTCTGCAATGATACACATACTCGTATAACAAGAAAATTATACAAATTAGCAAATGCTAAAAAGTTTCCATCACAGAGGATTCGTTGCAAGCTACGTTATGTATTAAACTTAGCTGTTCATAAATGCAATATAACTGTGTTATGTGTAGTGCCTATTTCAGTATTACTTATCAACTCTTGAACGATTTAGTAAAGTTCCCTAGTAGTAAAACGAGAGACGACTTGAAATGTATAGAATGAATTAGAGTACGAATTGTAATGAACAAAATGTAGCGAGCATAATTCTTACAGCTATGGTGAGATTATATATAGCTATATGCTCATAGTAAATAAAACATTTTTTATTCATTTTGTTAAATCCGAGACGTTAAATATTTAAAAGAAAGAAAGAAAGATATTCTAGTTTTGTTGAAAATATTTTATAATGTAATGGAGTAACATGTGCATATCAGTGTTTTATCCACTTTATATCAGACAATATATTCTCAAAAATGTTTTGTGAATATATCTTTTAAATGTAAATTCATATTATATAATGACTTTATTTTAATCCTATATACAGCGAGAGAAAAGGTTTGTTTATATTAGTATATACATTTTTAGATTTTTATACTAGCAAAATAGCCA